ATTCATTACAAATGTTTCTCATACTAGCATAGTACTCCTCAAGACTCTAATTACCCTGTTGTAGATTAAAGTATTCTTGGTACAACTGATATACTTTGGTTGTGTTGTCTTGACTCGAATACAGCTTCTTAGCATGGTCCCACACTTCTTTGGCAATATCAAGAAACATGAAATTTACACTAATCTTGGGTTCCATACTATTCCATAAGCATGTGATAATCTGTGCATCTGCTTGCTCCCAATCATCATACTCATGAGAATCGGTGGAGGGCTTTTCGTCTCTTATGTGTTTCACCTTCTTCTTTGCCTTAAGAAAAACTTCTACAGATTTAACCCAAGGTACATAATTTTCTCCATTCAGCTTAATGGAGGTCATTTGAACATTCAGGTAGTTAGTAGGAATCATCACACTAGTCTTGCTATCACTGTTGTCTCCTATTGCTGAATTCGGCACACTGCACACTAGACCACACTACACACTGATTTCAGCACTTACTATTGCTGTAAATTGCACTCTTTACACCACAAACCCTACCTCACGACTATCTGAAACTTTACCACACTGTTTGAGGAACACTCCTTCGAATCACACTGAAAAGTGCACAAACCCTAGCACACTACAATCTGAAATCCCACCATACAGTCTGAAACAGACTTATCATTTGATTCACACCAAGAAAGTGCATAGAACCTCTTACCCGATCATTCGAAAATCAGACCACACAAGGCACCCACTGCACCACATGAATCAACCCTATTCTCTTCATCGATTAGGGGAGGGCTTTTTAGAAATTGCAGCAACCGACCACGAACACCACAACTGGAGGCATAGAAACCTCCAAGGGAAGAGGGCGATCACTCCTTTTTATCCCTTTCCCTTATCTCCAACTGATGGCGAAGAAAGCAAGAGAAAACCCTAGACTGGATGTGCAGAGAATAGAATTCTGGGCAGATCCGATTTGCTCAATTTAGCTCTGATACCATATTAGAGTTCGGCCTACCTGTTAGACTGATAACAGCCGAGGAAAAGAGAGAAGAGAGAAAGAGAGAAAGAGAAATGAGAAGAGTAGAAGAGAAGACAAGGAGGAAAAGGTCTGGTTCGAATGAGAGAAAAGTCAACTCTCCCATTCGGCCAGATTTATTTTATATTATTAAAATATTGTGGAAAAGTCACATGTGCCCTTACTTAAGTTAGGGACATTAGATCTAACATAAACTTACACATCAGCACCTAAACATAAGCACAAAGACAGAAATACCCCTACATACTCAACACTAACAAAAACAAAGATAAATTCTAGTCCTAATAAAACAAAACATAACATGGATAAGGCCAGCCGGCCCAACTTAAAAAAATAATTAAAATAACTAGGTGTGAGTATGGAACCACACACACTAGAGCCTAACTGTGGGTATGGAACCCCACACTCATGGCTACTAACTATTTCTACAGAAATGAACCGTGATGGATTCTTGTGCAAAGTTCAGACATTAGGATGGGATTTGATGTCATCAACTTGGTTTAAAGGTCATTGTAGGTAAGGGGGAGCATGGGTCGCTTTGGTTTAGTTCCAAGGCAGAACCTGGAGGCTGGAACCTACCCTATAGGGCTCGGTTCCAGGGTCTACCCATGGAACTTGTTCTTCAAGAACTTGAGTTTTAATAATAATATAGTTCAAAGCTTATCACTATAAATTAAAAGTTGTAAATATTACCTTTGACATATTATACACAAATATTAAATTAAAGAAAAATGATCAAATCACTTAAGTGACTCAATGTTCAAGTGAGATTACGGTCTTTGTAACCATGAGTGCTTGGGTTCCCATCTTCACATCCTCAAAGTATTTAGGGATGTTTTTTCAAGGCAAATTCGGTTTCAAGGCCGGTTCTCTGGGTTAGTTTGGGTAGGGTAAACCCCTAGACCCTGGAAACAGCCTGGGTGGGGGCCAGTTCCAAGAATTTGGAACCAGACCGTTTATAGATTGGGTAGGGTTGGTTCAGGTCTGGTTCCATTTGGTTCCGAGTAGAACCTATCCATTTTCTCACCCCCCTAATTGTAGGATATTGAAGACAAGAATTGGTTCTATTTACTTTTTTATTATCAGTAAAGAAAATTTTTATCAATAACTGAATTAGGGACTACAAGTGCAATCAGAGCTGGGACTGGATACCCAGATACCTATGTTGAGTTGGGCCTAGTTGCTTTTATTCTTATTTTAAGTTATTTAGTTAGGAAGCTGTTGGGCTTTAGGCCCGTTAGTTTATGTTTTTAAGTTGACTGTTCAGCTACATTAGTAGCCGCCCTACTAAGGGCATCTTTGTAATATCTCATCCTTTAAGTTATGTATAAATTATAATGAGGGGTTGGCAGCTAGGGTTAATCTAAGAATCCTGGTTGACTTCCTACTCTTTTCTCCTCCTCTTTTCTTCTCTACTGCTGAAATCTTCATCTTCCTCTTCTTTCCCTTCACAAGGAATTCAATTAAATCTGCAATCAGTGATTTATACTACCTATATGTTTTATTTTGCTTTCCTTTTACAATGCTGCCTAAAAATTTTGTTCCCAATGGGCCCCTGTTTGGCCAAGGAATCTTCCATCCCATTAGCAGTTCTTTTGACCCATCTGAAGGCAGCACTCGCTTATCTTGTTAGCTTCTCAATCTCCCTCTAAGTTTGCCTGTATATCCAAGCTCCTGAGTTGTTTCTGCACATCCAAGAGATAACCAGCTTTGAGTCTCCCTTTACCTTTACATGTTGCAGTCCAATTTGCTTAATAGCCTCAGGCCTTGTAGTATCACCAGTACTTTGGCCTTTATGGAATTGGAAAATCCAATTAGTTCTGCAAATGGAGCCACTCAGCCACCAGTTGCCTTGTGCATGCCTAAATACACCCCCCTGATCCCTGATGGGATTCTATTTTCTTTTATCATTCAGGTGATTAATCTGATGAACTCTTGTTCTCAAATGCTATGAAGTAAAATGAAATCATTTCATCTCATGTGGTTTCTAAATGACCCTTATTTACTTGACCACCTTAAGAACCAGTTACACTAGACTTCAATCAGATGGGTGATCATGACCATGAACAACTAAACCCATTATTCAGCTTTGAGGAAAATTTAGATACTGTTTTCAAGGAAATCTACATCTGAGGTGATAGGTTTTTTTAACCAGTTACACTAGACTTTCATCAATTGGATGATCATGACCATAAACAACTAAATCCACAATTCAACCTTGGGGAAAATTTAGATACAATTTTCAAGGAAAGCTACGTCTGAGGTGATTAAGCTTTTTTTGAGCTTACTGAAGTGATTGCAACTTATGTTGAATGCCTTAGTGTTGATGAGGCAGTGGACCAAAATGCATGATTGATAACAGCTCTTTCACCAGATGGGTTTAAGTATTGTATTCAACATTGTTGTTTCTTTATTTTTTTCTTCCTAGGAGGATAACCTGTGTAACTGTGTTTAAGCTTTGAGACCAATATTTTCAAACCATCATTGACCTGGCTGATTGGGGACCATTCAACCTATCATGATTCCTGCGCAAGTTAACCTAAAACCCACGAATTGTATAAAACCATTGTCTTGGTCAAACTCTGTTCGGCCCAGGCAGTCGAACCATTGACTCAGGGGGTTGCAGGTTACAAAATACTAATTGTTAGAAAACTTCTAGGGGCCATAATTTTGTGCTTGGTTGACCAACTCCCCCCCCCCCCTCTTCCATTTACCAAAAAATGGATAGGGACTAAGTTGTAAAGAGTTGGAAGAGCAGAGCCTCTCTGATTAAGAAGATACGAAGAGGCTGGTTTGTGTCATGTACATGGTGCACATTTACAGTCAGGATGCTTAGCATTCGAAAGGTCCCATATAGGACATCTCCTAGGCCAGATTTAGGTGTTCCAATAATCATAACCATTAGATTGCATTCATTTCAGAAGTTGGTAACACTAGGAAACGAGAAAAATTATACAAACTGTATCTTCATAATCATCTAATGAAGTTCAATCCTGTACCTGTGCCTAAGTTATGGAAGAAGGAAGTATTTTTTCGCACTTATAAGCAATCACTACAACAGTAGTTCTCTTGGTGACAATAGCTGATACCATATTTCCCTTGGACTCTTCCTCTTGCAGGGTTCTTTGGCACTCACATCTCGGAGTTTAAGTCCAGTTCATAGTTCAAGATCTGTTGAATACAGAGAACAATGTCAAGGAACAGAGAAAGCTAGTTTTGGAAGCAATCTAGGTTCAATCCAGCAACATCAATTTCTACAAAGTAACATAATATTCACATCAGCCAATTCAAAACTGCATGAACAGAAAGGTTCAAATAACAGAAGCCCAGTTTCAACAAATCCCATCAGTTTCTCTCAAGGTTTGAAAACTCTTATAACTCTTACACCCATTCAGTATGACTCAAAGAAATTTGGAAGTTGCAACCAGGGGAACTCCCCCTTAGAATCTAACTCAAATTCAGGGAAGCAGAATTCATACTCTTCAGCTTTGAGCTCCCAAACAAGTGATGATAGTGGACATGAGAACCGAAATACCTCAGGTCATGGAAGTAACTGCATAGGACAAAGTGCAGATATCTGCAGAGAAGGCCATAACAACATTTTCACAATCAAAGGAAGCCATTCGTCTTGTTTTGATTGCAGTGAACCAGATCAGAGAAACCAAGGTACTGTGGAAGGATTTCAATCAGAAACTGAAGGAAAATCTCAGCTCATAAAAGATGGTATGGAACCATCTCTTTCTTCTTCTGCTCCCAATTCCGAAAACAAGCATAAAAATCAAAGTACCTACTCAAATGGAAGTTTTGATATTCCAGAAAGCCAGCAGGGACCTGGTGTTGTAACTGAAAGCAATGAAGACACCACAAATGAGGAAACTGTGGAAGAAGCATGTGAAAGCATTGCAGCAAAGATATTGCTCAGTTTTGCACCATGCAGATCTTGTGGGGATGCCAAGTCAAAGGTTATTAACCCCCTGATGGAGGCATAGCCAAACAAATCAAGTCAGGATGCCACAAGCAGTGAGCAGAAGTGGAATCTATGTGAAAAAAGATGCATTGGCGACAACACCAAGTGTTATGCAACAATGAAATGGACAAAGTCGTTCATGGAAGGATGACCTTAAAATGACTGCTTCGGAGAAGTCTTGACTCTTTTTTGTATAGTTCAGTTTTGTTTTATCTTCACTTGTGAGGCAATAACCACTACCTGGTGAGTGTTTGCCTTTCTGTATAGAGAATTCAATGCCATTTGAAGCTCCATGGTAATAGAGGATTGTGACTGGGATGTTGATCGGGTCTTGTTTCTACCTCTTCTACATGGTCAAATACCAGAGACCAGATGCTGAGACAAAGATGTAAATTTACAGAACTTAAAGATCATAAAGGATGTTACTGTAGAGATTTGCTGCTTATTTGTACCTGTTTTTGGTTGCTTATTCATAACACACTCTAATCATTGTTGTCTTGATTTCTTTGTGCAATCCCGATTCCTTTTTGCAACCTCAATAATGTTTCCACATTTTTCTAGAGTTTTGCCTAGAATATTTTTGGCCACCTTGAAAGGAGTTAATTGACCAAGTGGTTAAGATCACCTGTTAGTTCTATTTTGGTCTCGAAAGCTTTTTGCAGGGATTCATGAATTAGAAATGGAAGATTGGGAAGCAAATCAACTTCCTTTAGTAGGCTATGGACTCACTTTTAACTTTAGTGGCAGGCCTGCACCAGAGTGTCAATTACCCTACAAGTGAAATTTAAACAAGGTATCCTTTGATCTTTGTGGTGTAAGCAAAACATTATTTAAATATGCTATGGTGTGGTAGAGTTTATATTCAGTTTCCATTTTCTCCAATTTCGATAATTTGTGCATGAGAAAGTATAAATCTAAAGTTCATCAGTATCATAGTCATCTGGCGTCATCCCACTTAAGTAGGATCAGGGGCATTAATCCTCAATTTCATCTCTTTTGTTATTATTTATTTGTTTATTTATTTAGTAATTTTAGCAGGTATTCCAAAAATGAGCTAAGAGACTACTTCTCACTAATTGAACCAATATTTTATATTTTTCCCTCTTTTAGGACTATTGGCTTGCACGAAATCACTCTATCTAACTGAAATAATTGTTGGTCTCTGTATCATTGTCTAGTTCCTTTATCTTGTCATCAATAGGTGCTGTCCCTATATTTCCTTTAATAAACTTTTTTTTTTATTTTGTTTTGTTTTGTTTTTTGTTTTATGCATTCTAATCATACCACTCATGGATTAAGGATATGCCACGTTTCTAAGGCTCCATTTGGAAAGAGTACAAATACAAATATCTAGAGCGCAAAACCTTATATTTTGTATGAATTTGTACTGTACATATTTGTATTTATACTCCTTCCAAACTAAGCTTAAGGCTTTATTTGCAAAGAGTTTAAATACAAAATTCTGTATTTTCATTTTTGTATTTGCACTGAATATAATTTTTTCAGAGTGATTTTCTAGGTCCCTAAATCCCTTATATTTTGGTGGGTTCAAAAACTGATTCATATTGTGCCATAAACATGGATAAATTTTGAACCTTGTTATCACTTATTCATCTCAATATTGCATCAAATAATTATTCATTTTAGATCCGCTGTCAATGATTAAACCCAGAGACCCCCTTAAATCCCTTTTATTTTGGTGGATTAAAAAATGTACGATATACATCGATATGCTTTGTATCTTGTTACCACTTATTATCTCAATATTAGCATCAACAATTATTCAATTTAAATTCACTATCAAAAAGATTTGCAAGGCTTTGATGGTTTGGAGTGCAACACGAAACTTTGAGCATAAGGTCAGGTGGAAAACATATTGATCCAGATTTTAGTGGCAGTAGCAAAATCTTTTTGTGTAATATATATAATTGAACCAAGAGGGAAAAAAAGGTTTTATGTGTGCAACACTTGCACATGGATGAATCTAGCCTATAGATCGGGGTGGCGAATAGCAAATGGGTAGATTTTACTACCCAGAATCTAATGGAATCAGTCTTAAACCAGCATTGAACCAACACTATCCAATCTATTATTGGGTAGGGTTTGATTCCAAATTTTTGGTACCAGCCCTCATCAAGGCCAGTTTCACGATTTAGGTAGGGGCGCAAATGGATTTGATCATGATCCGATCTAATCCAAATTCAGCCATATTTTTGTCGGATCGGATAACTCTTTGGTGGATTTTCAGATTGGATCGGATCGGATTCAGATCACCCCTATCTGATTCATATTTATAAACATATTTGCTTATAAAAAGATATGTATATATTAATATACTTATTAACATATTTATTTATAAATATGTTTATATTGCATTTTTGTAAATCTTTTATAAAAATACATGTATATATTAATATATATGATGAAAATAGTTGAAAAAAACTTATGTTTTTGTTTTTATTTATATAAACTGTTGTGTTTTTTTTTTCTTTTAATAATTTATTAAAATTTTCAAAATTTGAATTGAATTGGATCAAATTTGGACAACGTTTGTGGGATACAGTCGGCTCTTCATATTGGGTCGGATCTTGGATATATGATATTGGATTGGATTCAAATATGCCCCGATTTGAATCCAATTTGATTCATTTGCATCCCTGGATTTAGGGTTTTATCATACTCAATCCGAATCAGAGAACTAGCCTTGATTGACCTTGGTGGCGCCGAACTTGTCTTGAAATAAATCCTCAAAAAAAACTTTGAGGATGTGAAGATTTGAACCCAAACACTCATGGTTGGTTACATGGTCTCAGTTAACCTTGAGTCAATTAAGTGACTTAACCAATTTAAAACTCAAACATGCATAATAAGTAATTTAAAATGTAATATTTACAATTTTTAAATTATAATGATAAATTTTGAACATGTATTAATATATTAGGATAATCTATAGATTAAAGAACAAGGTCTTTTTTTTGGAGGGAGGGAGTAAAGAAAGAACAAGTTGCACGGGTAGACCTTGCAATTGATCTTGGAACCACCAACTCTAAAATTGACCTTGAAGCAGTTTCAGCAGGATAGTTTTTAGCTTCAAAAAACCTAAACAGACCCCTACAAGGTAGGTTCCAATTTTGCCTTGGAACCAAATTGAACCAACCCATGCTCACTCTTAACTATAGATAGAGGAAGATTGACAAAGAGTGTAGTTTGCATATTTAAAAGGAAATTTGGTAGATATTCCCAAATCAGGATGTGGCAATTGAGACGTAGTGACTAAGGCTGTGTTAGAAAGTCTAAAAACATTTGATGGAAGCATTGGGAAGAGTTTACTTTTTCTTGTTTTCGGTTTCAAAAGCAAATCAAGACCATCTGCTTTGAAAAATAGATTGTTTCTCAAAATAAAAACACAAAAAACATATTCTTGGTTGGGCAGGTGTTTTCTATTTTCAAAACTGAAAACCAAAAATGAGTTTTTGAATTCTTGGTTTCAAAACATGTTTTCATCTAATTATTTACTATCATGTTCCATAAATTATATATTTACATTATAAAATTTGTTTTTGTTTAAAAAACCATTATTTTGATGGTTTCAAAACCAATTTGTTTTTGCCTTTAAAAACAAAGGAAAGTGTCCAAAAGCAGGTTTTTGTTTTGTTTTTTTGATGTGATGATTTAAAAACAAATGAAAATAAAAAAATTGATGTTGTGTAACACCCCCTAAATTTCACTTCACATGTGATTCTAGTGTTGTAGCCATCTTATAAGTTTTCCCCTTCAGTTTAATGGCATGCCCTATGTGCATATTTACTTCCATCTGCCTAGAGCAACATCCACTTCAATCTCTCAAGCCCCATGGATAATTGAGTCAATATACTGAAAACAATGTTACTCTTTTTGTTTGTTTTTTTTTTCTTTTTGAGTAGTTATTAGATAAAGAGAAGAAAGTAAGTAAATCCCTATTTCTCTCTCTCTCTTTTTTTTTTTTTTTTTAATTAAGACTGGTCTTATAAAGGGCTTTTTACTTAAAAAAAACACAACGTTTCTTTTAACAAAAAAAAAATCTTCATAAATTTGTTGGTATTTTTTTTTTTCAGATTTATTGACGAATGAATGACTACTCAACACACATCTACTCTAATAAAAATAAACTAATGTCTTGAAATGCCTACATATAAGAGATACATGCATTGATTTACAATGGTTTCAAATTGAATTCAGATTCCAACCGCGTATCGATTAGCATTAATAGATTAAATTAAAAATGACTAAAATATAAGTTACTCTGATATTGTATAACTGAAAATTTAATACAACAAAAAAGAGCACCTAAGGAATGGATTGCTCCCACTCTCAAACAAAAGTCTACCAACATTCAAATTGAAGCTTTCCGTAGACGTGTTGCTATCTATCAAAAAGCATATACACCCACTTCAAAAGATGTAAGGCAGCAGTAGGGGTGCTCACGGTTCGGTTAATCGAAATGCGGGGTTTTTTTTTTAATTGAATTAGTATTATTAGTTTTTGGAAAACTGGTAACTGAAACTGAATCGAAGCCAATCGGTTAACCGGTTGACTGGTTTGGTTAATCGTCGATTCAGTTCATCGGTTTTTAAAATTTTACAATATATATTATAAAAATATATATAAATATATAATAAAAAAATATAAATGTATATAAAATATTATATTTTAAATAATAAATAATGTATCATATATTATGAATATATATTTATATATAATGCATATTTATTAATTTATAATATATATAATACAGTATACATAAATATATAGAAATATATGTATACTGGTTGGTTCGGTTAACCGTCAATTTTCTATATTGGTTAACCGAAATCAAATCGATACCTTCAGTTTAAAAAAAAAACACCGAATAGAAACCGGACTGATCGGTTTGGTTTTGGTCAATTCGGTTTTTTGGCTTTTTTTGCTCACCCCTAGGCAATAGGGCTCATATTATTGTGTTTGATTCAATTTCATAATTCAAATGAAAAACTCATTATAAAGACTTTCAATTGTATGGATAGGTTGATTCAATTTTTGAACAAAGAACTCAAATAAATATATCATATAAATAGTAAATCTTGAGGTGTAGTTGTATCGTACTTAGTATAGGGTCATTTTCTAATTACTTGTATGGAACACATGAACTTATGACTCTTTAGCAAAAACATGACATTTAAACTAATTTTATTATGGCTTAAAAAACTAATTTCACTAATAAATGCAATATAAATTTTAAGTATATAAATCATTTATATTTATAAATGCACAAAATTTAGATGACCTTTAACCAGGTTAATTAGAAACCTAAAATTTGAAATTGGAATAAGTAGATACCATTTGGTCATGTAAAATATTTAAATGTTTAAGTGGACAACTTTTATTAATGATCACTAGTGGTGATCAGTCATTATACATTGGTGGTATCAGTAAAACATCATATGGCCCCATAAACTCTCTCTACAGTCAATAAAATCTTTCAAAATTCTTTCCATCACACGTAGAGAATTCTA